TAATCTAAAGCTGCATCTAAAATGATGATTATGAATTCTGAGACAGCAAACTTGAAAACCTAAAAGAAACCCGAAAAAAAAATTACATGCTCCAAACTTTCTTTTTTGGTTGGTGATTTTTGGAGGGAGGGAGGGGGGGGGGAGGGAGGGGAGGGAGGTGAGGGCGGATGGAGGAGTGGGGAGGGGGGAGGGTTTCGGAGGGAGGGCGGGTTGGCTTTATTCCTTCTTCTTCCTTCCGCATTCCTGTCTTCCTGCCTTCTTCCTTCCTTCCTCACTTCCTTCCCGCTTCCTTCCTTTTCCTTCTTCTTTCTTTGCTTCTTTCTTGCTGTCTTTATTTCTTTCTTTTTTCTTCTTCTTTCTTTCTTTCTTTCTTTTTTCTTCTTCTTTCTTTCTTTCTTTTCTTTCTTTCTTTTTCTTTCTTTCTTTCTTTTTTCTTCTTTCTTTCTTTCTTTCTTTCTTCTTTCTTTCTTTCTTTCTTCTTTCTTTCTTTCTTTCTTTCTTTTCTTCTTTCTTTCTTTCTTCTTTTTTTAAATATAGAACTCCATTTGTAAACTTTCCTTTAAAAACAAACCAACATTGCAGTGCTGATGTAATAATTGTTGTGTTCTTTTAATCACAGAATGGGTTGGGTTGGAAAAGACCTTACAGACTGTCTAATTCCAACCCCCCTGCCATGGGCAGGGACACCTCCCACCACACCAGGTTGCCCAAAGCCCCATCCAGCCTGGCCTTGAGCACCTCCAGGGATGGGGCATCCACAGCTTCCCTGGGCAATCTGTGCCAGTGCCTCACCGCCCTCAGAGTAAAGAATTTCTTCCAAATAATTTTAAAATCATTACACTTGTCGTATCCCTATACCCCCTGTCAAAGAGTTCCTCCCCAGCTTTCTTGTCATCTCCTTTAGGTACTGGAAGGCCACTATAAGGTCTCTCCAGAGCCTTTTTTTCTCCAAGCTGAACCCCAGCTCCCTCAGTCAGTCTTCATAGGAGAAGTGCTCCAGCCTTCTGATCATCCTTGTGGCCCTCCTCTGGACTCATGCTAATATGTCCATGTCCCTTCTGCGCTGGGGGCCTCAGAGCTGAATGCAGTGCTCTCACAGGTGGGGTCTTATAAGAGCAGAGCAGAGGGGGAGAATCACCTCCCTCACCCTGCTGGCCACTCTGCTTTTGATACAGCCTAGGACACGGTTGGAAAAAAACACAACCCTTAACAAACAAACAAGCAAAAACCAGCTATCTTTGCACCCGGCTGTGTGTTCCCCTCCAATGACACAGGTGTTCTTCCAGGTGGAAATGTAAGCTGCATACAGGTGCTATTTGTATATTGAAATAAGAGGATAGGACCTGACAGTGGTTTTGGAGTCATTCAGCCTTGGTGGAACGCAGGTGAATTAAATGAAGCAGAACTGTAGATGTTCACTGGAGTGTGAACATTAATAAAATCACTGAGTACCCAGTCTTGCAGACAGATGTGATGAGTCACGGCAGAGCCACTGTTGAAATGGATGCCTCACCTGCTAGGGTAGAAGCTTAAATCTATAGACCCATTAAATCTATGTGTATAAATGTGGTCCCTGCTCACATTTTTGAGCCTCTGAATTTTACAGTGGTTCTCTTCAAGCACTTGTTTTCAACTAAACAGGCTGATTCGTGAAAAACAGAACTACTTAATGAAGCTGGTTACCAGCAGGTTGGTGTCCTCTGTCCCACAAACCTCCTTCCACCACAGCAGTACAGTTCCATGGCCTATTTGCTATGATATGCTTTCTGGATAAGAGATGTCAAATTTCACGGTCAGTGTAGAGGTCAGAATGATTTTCCCCCACTGGGGGGCATTGACGTAGAGATTACTGTCACTTTCCAGAAAGCAGATCTTCAGGAAACTTGTAGGAATGTAATGTAATAGTTGAATAAAATTCTGTTGGATCACTTTATCAAACCGGTCCATGGGCTAAACATTCCTGAAAAGAGACAGAGAGGAAAGGGAGAAGAGAAGGAAAAGAGCTGGGCTGATACATGATTATGTGCTCTAAATCTCATTTCTTAATGGGATTATCACTTAAGTGACAAGCTAAAACCATGTGGTATGAAGTAAGTCCCAGAACTAAAGCTGACGGTTCTAGACACGCGCATCACCATAAAATGTAGGTGCTTTCCAGTAATGCATATCGTATGTTGTTCTGGCATCTTCTCCCTAGAAATGAATGTAGCTGTGTCTCATTTCAGTAAGGTTTGTGTTTAACTGGAAGTGTTTTATTTTATATTCTGTGTAGTTTTGATCAATTGTATATACTCCAGAAAAGAAAAATGTGGAGCACCCTCAGTTTCTGCAGTTCATTCCATAGGCAAAACAGACACCTGAGAATATTTGCCTCCTCAAAAAACTCAATTTACCTTTTGAGATATCTTGGGCATGTGCCATGTAACACCTGAAGATAAAGATGAGGAACAAGAATATGATTTGAAATGCTATGAGAAGTGGGGATCAGAGGAGAGGACGGTTTTGTTTTTCTTACCATGCTTTTTGCCAAGGAGGCACAAGTCAGTATCCAGCTGGAGTACTGTTGCCTAACTGCTGAATCTTTCTTGTTCAGGTGTATCTCACAGCTCCAGTCTTGCCCAGAAGCAACTTAGGTTTGGATATTCAAGGTCCAATAACTTCTCAAGAATAGGACAGAACCTTCTTGCCAGCAAGATGATATAAAAGCAGATGATACAGTATAGGGCAAAACTCACTAGAAACTTATGCTCTCACTGAACAAAAAAAGGAGCTAACACTATCTTGCCAACATGTGCACATGTACCTGTTTGCTTCTGCACATTGCTGCACTTGTAATTAATACAGATTGCCATGACTAGATTTCAGTCTTGCAAAAACAGAACTTAATGACTAGGGAGTTAGACACTAATAGCAGTGTGAGAAACACAATATAGACTAGAATGATACTTTATTGAAAGTTTTCTTTGAGCAGACAGGAGGGAAAGCCGGGATTATGTATCACGTATGTGGGACGACACTGTCCTAGAACTGCTTTACTTAGAGAAATGAGACAATCCCTTCTATGGGCCATGTGTAATTTGAAGACACAAATAAAGAGTCAGTAGAACATAAAACAAGTGAGCCTGGTGGGTATTTGTTATTTATAGTCACTGGAGGAAGATGGGACATTGTGTATGTCCTTTTCAATTGGCCAGAAACGGGAAGTAAGTTCATCTCTTTTTACATTGCAGGGCTAGTGCATTATGGAGCTTTGCATTCCTGCCAATGTTCACTGTCAAGAGTGAATTGCTAGTTTTCACAAAGTTGCATATGCCTCCATAAACACATATTCAGCAGGGGCATATGCCTTCTCATTTTGAAGTTACATTTCAACACATTTGACTAAGAGAGACGCATGTGCTGGGAGCCTACTGCTTTTATTATGTATGAAACAGAGGAAAACAAGTTTACATATGATTTGTACTTTCTTGTATTTGGAAGATGGAAGTGACAGACCCACTAGTCATGCAAAGTCACACAAGCACTTAGTCAGTCTCCTTGCATGCCAAAGGAAGTGGGAAATAGTTAACCATTTGAGGCAAAACTCTGATCCTCGTGAGGTTCTCCCACTTAGGGAGAATAGTGAAGACAACAGAGGAGGGAGTAACATCTGCAACCTTGACACAACCTAAATTTGCAATCAGAATCCTGCAGTAGAACCTGTGGTCTAAAACTTACTCCCAGACTCTTGTTCATCTGCTTGTCCTTCAGGGCTTTTACCTGGCAATGACTATAGCTCAGCTCCTTGTCTGCTACCAGTGCTTTATATTCATACGTTCCCAATTCCTGTCTTTATGCCCAAACTGATGAGAAGAGGGATACCGCTCCCTTGAAACAGCAGAATAGCAGTGTCTTCTCAGATACTGCTGGAACGTTTGGGAATTATATCCTTGTTTTGACTTTGGAAGGCTATGATGGGATTTTAAGACCCATGGTTGGAAGCGATCTTTCCACACCACAGAACATCCACCCAGATGTCTGGGCCTGTTGCTCGCACATAGGTCTACAATGACCTTTCTCACAGACTTGTATTGAAAAAGAAAATTGATGAGGCACACACAATACATGGTTGTGCTTGATTTTAAACAGAAAGAAGAGTTGGAAGAGGCAGTCACCCCTTGTCTCTACATTATACACAGCACCTACAGCCAAAATAGAAAACTTCTATCTCACTGATAAAGTCTACGCCACGAACAAAAGCTATTATAGAAATCCTGTTATCATTCATGTTACAAAATAAAGAGGAAAAAAAAAAATCTGAGTGACTACAGAAGAAAACCTCCACAGTCCAAATGAATAAGGAACAAAAGATTCATCACCTACTATATGATTAAGAAGTTTGCTTTTGACCTCTTTTTTTTTCTTTTTTTTTCTTTTTTTTCCCCAAAGCAGGCCACATTAAAAATAAAGGAAAATTGCTCTATGATGGCTATTCCAGCCACTGTCAGTGATGTATATTAGGAAATGGGGCAAGTCCACATGACCTCTGTTCTCTTTATCTTTGAGATAATAATGGTGTATTTTAGAAGAGTGCTTGATGTATGCCTGAAAAGCACTATATGCTGGTCATTTTATTACAAAATCTCAGCAAGGAAGAACCAGCCAGAGCCCTCTGAAACCATCTCATATTATAGAAAGAAATAAAATGGCATTTGCTTGCTGATACAGATAAAATTCACACACATTATTTAACAGTAACTTGTGGTTAACTTAGAAATTTAACTGCAGCATTATATACTGCATAAAGTACATGTTTTTTTCCCTTTACATTTAATACTTTGTTGTGTTACTGGGGTTCAGTCACTTACTCCTGAGAAGTTTCAGCTTGTTTTTTAAGTCTCCACAACTCACTATTCATCTTCAATGTAAACGATGACACCAGGGTAAAAGAACAGGATCTAGAGGTAAAGTAAGGTTACAGAAAGTATAAAATGGTTACATAAAGGAAAAATTGGCTATAATTTCAGTTTTGGACCAAACATTTAATCAGTGTTTCTGATAAAAAGTTGAAACAGGTTTAATGAGATGCTTAAACTTCTAAGCTGGCTCTTGAGTTCTTGCAAATCTAGTAAATCCACCACAGGACTGATGCTTTTCTCTTTCCGCAGTCTTCTTGAAGAGAAGGAATTACTATGAAATGAAGTTTTCTGAAGTCCTCTGAAGCAAATCTCAGGGTGTAGTTAGATGATGTTCCTGAACTATGCTCTATGAAGGGCACAGATCTCTGTTCTGGCAACACTCAGACATTTTCATACCCCTTGCAAAGTAGATTCAAGCTGCTGAACTGGAAGAAAGTTTTAATTTCTGCCCCTCCCGCAAAATTTGATCTTGCAAAATTCATCCTCATTGGCTGAAGATGCCGGATGGGACCATGTGCCTACTTTCACAATAGAAGATTAGCTCATTTCTTATTGAACCATACCCTAAAAGCTTAAGCCTGTAGTGAATCCCAGTGAATTTCAATCTGCTGTCCTAACCAGGTTTTGTGTCTGGATTTTTCTCCCTGTGAAGACTACATCTATTAAAATTGTTTAAATTCTTAATAAGTAGAGAAGAATGAATATTACAATGACAGAAAGAATAGAAATGCAGCAGGTGTAGATTAGCTTCTGTTTAGGAGGTTCTATTAAGTAGAGCTGAAGTAGACCTTTCTTCGGTGTATATTACAGACTATTCAGCTTAGAACAGTTGACTTAATTTGCCTTTCTTCTGCTCCTGAAATTTAACTTAGGCATTCTGTATGTCCACAACACATTTTTTCATCACCAATAATGTACTAACAGAACCCCTCCATAAAAGAATGTTGTTGCCAAATGATAAATGGATTTGCAGTTGTGTTGCAGAGTGTAACTAAATGTGATTCCTTTCTGTCAGAAAACATAAAGACTGGACTGAATTACCACAGAACTCTAGCCCAGAGGCCCAACCACTGTTCCCATAACACAATTAGAGAAACAAGTTTTCTCTGCTCACTGGGTTTGTAATGATGGAGAATCATGCCACAAGCATCCCTAAGCAGAGCAGAAGATAGTGTATTAGCATGGCTTTTGTTTTAGAATGTAATTGGAATGTAAGGGAGAATTCCCATTGCCTTTGTGTTGTTTTTGTGTTGATTGCTTGGAAAATTTTGAAGAAACTCTCTGGGTTTCTTGCTTCCATTTTATAGTCTGAAATCGGTGGCACTAGTAGAAATTGGTTTGGAGCTAATAAATGTTGTTTCCATTACAGATTTTCTTCTTTTTGCTCTATTACACTTTTTTTTTTTCCTTATTTCTTTCTCAGAAGTGACTGGGAGTAGTTCAAATACTAAGACAAAAGCTTGCTGTAGTAGATACGATAGCCTTAAGTGCAACACATTCATCCCATGAGAAGAAAAAAAATCCACTTGGTGTTCACATATGAGTAACAGCTATATCAAATTGTGCTGATTGTTCTAGAGGTATGACTGTTTCACTGAGAGTGTGCTGTCCTTAATCAAGTGTCCTTTTCATTTACAGTGCATTTACAGACCTCTTCCCCATTTCAAAATCAGCATTTAGGATACACTCCTCAATTTCTTCATGTCTCTTAAAGACTTGCAACTTACATGTACTAACAATCTCAATGCATATTTCATTTTATCTGCTGCTAGGGAGCAACATTTTTTTTTGTCAATGAAAAGCCAGTCCAGGATAACAATAGATGCAGCAGGCACAGCAAAGGCTGCTTGTGGGGCTATGTGTATGGTTGACTAATACAAAATAAAATATAAGTCACTCTATTTTTTTAGGACAGGGGTACTGTAAGTTCCAATAAAAGTAAGGCCAGATAATGAACACTGTTTTTTTTCATGCCATTTATTTTGCACAGTCCTTTCAGAATCATATGAGAACAGTTGCATTTTCTTCAATGGTTTCTGTCATTATGCAACTCCAGCTTTGAAAGCTGCTCCTCAAACTTTTGAATGTCTACTCGATGCTTCATTAGGAACTTTCCATTTAAATGGAAAACAGGTATGTCATATTTGTACTTATCATACCATGCAGAGTTCTCTGGAAGGGTAATATCCACTTCCTGCAAAATAAACTGTCACAGAAAAGAAATATGTTAGTACATACTAAACACTGAAAAACAATATCTGATTGTCTTTTAATCAAGTTTCTTCCTCAGAAATGCAATGTTTTCATTGTGCTTTTGGATTTATTCTTTCAAGTCACAGATAATTGCTCATTTTGTGGATACAAAAAATAAGCAGCCACTGTCTTTGGCTGGGTATCTGCAAACAACTCTTGCTTTAGTCCAGCAAGGTATTTTTGAATCCCTGTGCAGAACCACTCTCCTTTGAGCATCAGCTACAACAAATATACAGCTGGAAACACAATAGCTTCATGTTAAGCTGCAGAGTGCAACACCTCTTTAATGTTGCTACTAACAATTTCTTCTTTCAAGAAAGACATCAAATCTTTGTTGAAGAACAGCAAAAACTGTTCAAATATTTGAACTATATTTGGTAGCCCTGCATCAATACCAGTATCCTTCCCAAATTATATCATTTCTTGCCTCATAAGAGTTGCAAACTCCTCTACCAGCAAGAAAAATAGTATCTATAAACACAGTGGTTCTAAAAACTTTTGCAATTACGTGTATGTTGGTTTAGTTTGCCAATAGATATTAGAGTAGCCTTGTTGCAAAATGTTTTTGGATAATGAGTTTTATGGAAATCAGTGCTGAAATTGTCTTGAAGAGGTCACCCATGAAAGAATACTGGATGCAAATAAATCCAAGCAATTTTCTTTCCCAAATAAAGAATCCTGATTAGCTATTCTTTCTCTATATAAACTGTACAGTATTACGTTACCCTTCTCTTATATGGCTCGAGCACTTCTTTTGCTTCATCACACAGAGGGCAAGGTTTCTAAAGGAAAACATTCAGACTATCTTAAAGCATGCAGTAAAACACACAGATCATTTATAGCATCAAGTGACATAACAGACAGGAGTGGTCATTACTGTAAATGTGGGTTCCCTCTCCCATTTCTCTCCTACATCTTATTGCTTCTAAATCTTTACTGTTGCAGAATGGATGAAATGAAAAACTACTCTTGCTTCCCTCACAAAATTTATACATTTGCTGTTATTTTTCTCATGGTACAAACAAACAGTTTTCAACTGCTATTCTAAAAGTAAAGGGCACAGTTTAGGTGTTTTATCCTTCCCCCCCCCCCCCCCCCCCCCCCCCCAAGTATATTTCAGCTGTAATGGGTATTAAAAGTGTTGCCATCTCCAGCTGGAAACAACTGCTGGTACTGCTTTTGTCAGAAGGGGAATGAGGGAGTCAACATGATCAACTCCTAGTCTACTTCAGATCAAGTCACTGGGGGCAGTTCAAACAGGGGAAAAAAAAAAAAAAAAAAAAAAAAAAGGTAAGTTAAAATAACATGGCTGAGTTTGGCTCATAGGAATTAAGTACAATTGCTTCCTTCCAACCTGCACAGCTGGGAGGATAGTGAACCTCCATCAAGGTGAAATGGAACACAGCTTCGACCTGTGATGGGGTCAGATTTTCCAATAAAACCTCTCCTTTTTGAAAATTTCCTAGTCTTCCACTACAGTTATACAGCTGTCTTTTGCTGATCATGCATCATGATTGTTAGAGCAATGCATATCTGAAGAACATGAAGGCATGTTGCTTCAGCATTCAGTAGTAGCATTTGGCCTATAACTCACATAACAAAGTAGACAGTAGCAAATATGGTGGCTCCATCCCTCTGCCATGAAATACCACTCACAGCTGGGAAGTATTTACTTCTCTCCCTTCAACTTAAAATCTTCTTTACACACAGAGTTAATCTGAAATAAGAAATAACTATTTCCTGTGTGTGAATTAATTTGGATTAAATACTCTACTTTTAATTCACATCTGATCTAAACTGTCTTTCATACAGACAAATCCTTATACTCTGAAAACCTATGCAACCTGCTAAAGGTCAACAGTCCTGTATGAGGAGCTAGTTCTTGATGCTTTTGCATGGAGAGACATACTAAAGACTCAAAGGTATGTATCAGTAATGGAGACAAATGTTCCTGAATCCTATTTTGCAAAGTCTCAGGCTCCTTACAGTGGGAGGAGGATGTACACAGTTCTGTGGAAAGCATTCTAACAGTCACACAAAAGTATTTAAAAAATTGAGCTGATTCTTTGCAAAGAATATGCTTTTACTCTTGCCCTGTTGACAACCTTTACCACTACATGGCACTAATAAGATTGGAGCTGGTTTAAAATCAGACTGTAAACTATTTCAGTGAACAGTGACATTTGCTTAAAGGTCCATTTATATTCTAGCATATTTTCAGTACAAGTGTGCCCTAAAGTAGGTCTCTGCCATGACTTTATCTTTGTAAAGGGCTGCCTGGATGAAGCTGAGAAAATCTCCCATCTGAGAGGTACATTACTGTGGCAAGCAGGACTCCTATTGCTGAGGTAGCAATACTAAATACCTTACTAAAGTGACCAATGTTAGGCTGTTAGCTAAATCTGTTAGAATGTACACGTGGTGGAAGACAGTTTTATTTCCGCAGATAATTCTCATTTATGCTGCATACTTAGACTGAAGTTTTGTGCTCATTTTAAGCTGGCACTGATGGTGAACGAAGCAGGCCCATCTTCCTGCCAGCGCTTCTTTTGTGCTGGCATAAGTACTCATAAAGCTGCAAGTAAAGCTAGACAGCAGAACTGATCTGACTTACAGTAATCTTGAGGAAAAAAAAAAAAAAGTGTTCTTTTTTCCTTAATCCTGGAGCAGTTGTTATATGAATACATGTGTGTTGGCATAAATGGAGCCTGTGAGGGAGAAAACCATTTGGCAGTGCTAGCATCTACCAGTTTGAAGAGGTCACAGAAGCCATAACTCTCTCCTGCCTTTTCCTCCTTATACTTAAAAATACAAAGGAAGGAAAAATGTAGTTAAGTAGCATTAACTAAGAGTGCTGACTAAATTTAAAGCAGTCTGTATTCTGCTTTGCATCTGCCAGTAATATCAGACACAAAAAACATTTTACATTAAAAACATGTTCAACCAAAGCGGCCAGTTAGAGAACTACTTGAACCCTGCTCCCAGAAAACTTGATTTCATACAGTTTTACTAGTTAAAATTTTATGACACAAAATGATACAGAAGAGCTTTTTTCCAATTATTAACCCAAAGCTAAGCTCATTATTCCCTACTTTATCACATCCTGACTGTGAGTGAACTGATGCTGAATCAGGCAGGGAGAGAAGAGACTTTTAACTTTAAAGTATAGTACATCTTAAAGAATGTATTCCACTGATTAAGAAACAACTGGTACTTTTTTTTTTTTTAAATCTATTCCTACATTCCACAGTTTAAACATTCCTTTATGGGTAGGGATGGAATGAACAAACATTGTGCAGGAGAAGGAAATCATTTTAATCAAATCCCTCATCAACAAATACCTCCATACTGATTTCAACATTCTCAGTGCTTTGCACTTTTTAGCTTTTCTCCTCTCAGAGACCTCAACGGCTACGTGAACCATACAAATGCAGCACAGACTGCAGTGTGCCGTCCTGACTAAAAGTGGAGAAGATCTCTGCAGACAATGTAGGCCCTTAATCACAATTTGTGGAAGGTGACAGTTCACAGATGACCATTCCTGCTCATCACGTATGCTTAAGAATAACTGCTCATGCCACAGACAAAGCTTTTTCTGCATTTTATTCCTGTTAGCTTTACAGAGCCAATAAAGCAAAAGGGAGTGAAGCAGAATTTTCTTTTTCTTCATACACTATCAATACTGCTTTGATATATTTTCAGTCTCACAGTTTGCACTGAAATTAAACGTGAGTGCTTTGGAGAGCCTGCTTTGACTGCTCATGCTTGTCCAGAGCAGATTAGGTATGAAAACTCATCTTTGATGTCCATTTCCAGGATAAAACACTGGTAGTCACAGAATAATTTTCCACTAGAAAATGGACCATAGTGCCAGTGAGATTCAGCAGTCTTGAAGTCTCCATTTGTTGCTTGTAACTACTTCTTTGTGAGAGGAGTGTGCTGTAAAGCCTAGAATCTAAAGACATCCCCAAAGCAGAATACCCAATACTACACAAAAAGCCGAGCTGCTTCATCTGGGATTCACATATATCAAAACTGATATATATGCAGTCTTGCCTAGCTTTACATTGTAAACTACTTTTACCTTGGTGAACAAAGTCAACACTGGCTTATTTGCACTGGCTGAACACAGTTGTCTTCCCAGTAGACGGGATGAATATCTTGCTAGATGCATGGCTCTGCTTAGAAAACACAGCACCATAATCCTGCTAAGGCAAAAATAAAATGTGTAGTTTAATTGTTTTGCGATAAGTTAAAACTTATGAAATTTAATTTTAAAATTAATGTGGAGCAGTTCTAAAGTACACAATCAAACCATTTTCACAGCTTTTTTATGTTCACAGTATCAACATATTAGTCAGAAAAATATGTCAGTATGTGATTGGCCAGAAAGAACTTGGGGTAGCTCCAGAACTGTAGCTTCATCTAAAAAACATTATATTTTCTTGCTGAAATGCCTCTTTTAAATTCTGTAACATCGATGCTGACATAAATGCATTACGGTGTTTCAATTCGATATGTGCCAGTAAGAATTACGTGATATTAACAAAATGCAAAGTGAATGCTTTGAACCTCTGTAATCTTGCTACAGTGCTTGACATATTCTACTTAAAATTATTCCATCAAACAACTAATCTCTACCTAATCGGAATATTAAAATAATGCTTCCTGCAGCAAAAGAAAAGCTGTAGCCAAGACATTTTAACTCAGCAACATTAAAAAAATGCACATTGCCCTGAGTCCATAATGCAACAGCAAATTAATTTATGAAAGATGTTGATTTGTTTCTGGTTTCTTTGGGGTGGTTTAAGAAAGCTGATTAAAAGTAGTCTTGTTGAAGGGTACCATACTGGAGTTTTGAAGTCATCTATTTCAAGTAACACTACTAACAACAGTGCTTCCTCCCAGGTTGCATCTTAATGTGATCTTTACAAGACATTCTGGGTCTCGGAGGTAAAAAGTAGAAGCAAAAGGGAGACTGCACTGACAGTGGGCAGAGATGATACACAGTCTACACTGTGGCAATCAAGTTGATTTTACATAAAGCCAAATGGTTTCTGTTTAATTTCTGTTCAAGCGCAACTTGCCTGAAGTTTTACTAACTACAGCTGATCACAAACATAACGTGAGAGCACACATTATATGTTTGAGCTCCTTCAGTGTGAGGTATACTGTAGAAGGACTGTTGCAATTGATAAGCATGTTTTAGGATGTGCAGCGACAAAGAGCCCAGTGCTTTCACTGGATTTCTCAGTACTAATATTATACAGTTGTTATGGTTTAACCTGGCCGGCAGCTAAACACCACACAGCCGTTCGCTCACCTTTTCCCATTTCTCTCCCCCATCCCAGAGAGGGAGGGGGAAGTGAAGCCTGTGAGTTGGGATAGGGATGGTTTATTAAGACAGGAAAATAATAACAATAATGATGATAATAGTACTACTACTAATAATATGTATGAAACAAGTGATGCACAGTGCAATTGCTCGCCACCCGCTGACCAATGCCCAGCCTAACCCCAAGCAGTCCAGCCCTCTTCCCCTGACTAGTCACCCCTATCTATTGCTCAGCGTGACATCTGATGATACGGATACCCCTTTGGCCAGTTTGGGTCAGCTGTCCTGGGTCTGTCCCCTCCCAGCTCCTGCTGCACCCCCAGCCTGCCCGCTGGCAGGACAGAGTGAGAAGCTGAAATGTCCTTGGCTTGTGCAAGCATTGCTCCGCAACAATTAAAACATCAGCATGCTATCAGCACTCTTCTCATCCTAAGCCAAAACATAGCACCCTACCAGCTACTAGGGGGAAAATTAACTCTGTCCTAACTGAAACTAGGACAGCAGTATTATATGTTTTAAGAGAAACAGTTTAACCAGCATGTCTAATACAGAACACAAAACACTGCAGTGGGATCTAAACTTAAGGCTACTTAGCAGCTATGTTTCTAAGCAACAACCATGACAAAAATCAAACACACGACTTGACACTGCTCCACCTGCCTTAGGGCCACCAATTTTTCCACAGGACATGGATGAGGGTGCCCTGCCATATTTCCAGAAAAAGTTTAAACAGAACAAATACAAAGAAAACTTAGTATCCATTGAAAATTGTAACTGGGGTGGCCAAATTTCAGGAAAAATGTACATATAATTTTTTTTCCTTTTTTATTTTTTTTTCTTCTGACCACCTTGAAAATGCTGTTTAAAACGGAATATTCTGCAACAAACAGGTTTCTGTGTTTGGGTTTACTGTCTACCTTGGTCCAAAAAGGGTTCTTCAGCTGCAGGCGTCACGCCTGTCACCAGTTTGAGAGTCAGCTGCCGGGGCAGAGCAGCATGCCTGCTGTCCCTGCGAAGCGGCAGGTGACCGGCATGGCACACGCTGCTATTCCTCAGGGTGCACAGCAGTGCATGTGTTTCACTTAGCCAGCTGGAAATCTAATTGTCCAGGATTTTACACAGCAAATACACAAACACAAAAATCAGCTTTGAGCATTTTGGGGAAAAAAAATATGCAAATCTGAATGACAGTGACTAGCCTCACTCATAGTTAGAAATCTTTAGGTCCACAGCAAATAGCTGCCCAGAGAGGATGCGTTTTTGGCACAACGAAGTGCAGCATGTTGGCCAGCTCACGTGCAAGATAAAAACGTCAAAACAAACCATTTGCATTCTGGCAAGTTTTTAAAGGAATGCTTCAGTTGCCAGCCTAGCAAGACAAATTTTGTTCCTTCAAAACAAGGGAAATGCTCCTCAAATTGTTCTGTGACCAGCAGAATGAGTAATGCCTAGATTTCCATGGATCTTATTCCCCCACATACATACACTATGTGTATAAAATGACTCTGGTTCCCTCCTTTATCACCAATTTTTAGATCTCTCCATCCTCAGATAAATTTGAGCCCAATGAGACTGCTCCTGCCAAAATACCAGCCTAAGGGCAACAGATGAAACAGTATCAATACCTAAGCTTCAGGATCTCACAAGAATAAAGAAACTAGTGCAGTGTTTTACCCCTGCCCCCCTAAAATTTCAAATAATCATAAGCAACACTACCCTGAGAATTCAGGAGCAAATCCTCATTGACCAGTACTACTTCTGAAACAAGAGTCTGTCATTTTCAGAGTTTGCATGCATCTGTCTGAATGTTTTTATAAGTAACCTAAGGAAAACAGAACCCTGGCTGTCAATTCATTCACCTCTGGAGAATGACACAGAGGCCATACTGTCATGGCAGTTACAAAAAAAAAATCTAAGGACTAATCCTGATTTATAAAATGACACCAGACTCAGTCCAGGCCTCAGACATGGTCTGCTCTTCCGCCAGCACAAAGCAGCCTAGCCCTGAGGGGGGTGAGATATCGTCAGAGGGCATCGTGTTGCCACAGCACAGAAAATACAGCTTGTCTTCCCTGCTTCTCTGAAGCCCACAGCTGCCAGACAGCATCATTATGAAGGAGAGCAGTCAGAACAGCTACATTTAACCTGGGCTAAAGCAAGGTGCTAGCACAGAGCAACTTGAGCTTCTCAGGACTGCAACTAAGGTTCTGCTACAACAGATATTTGCTTTTAAATAAGTTTTACTAATTTTATTGGGTTAAATAAAAAGGGTTTGGATAAAACCAAAGAGCTGTGGTGCTGCAGGAACCCTGAAGGTTTCTAGGATTGTGAAGGGTTAAGCATAACTGCTATTGATCAGGAGCTGATGAAAGGGAATATCCCAGCATTCATCAGGCAAACCTACTGCAGCAGCTCCATTTATCTGAACAGCATCACATGAACCAGTGGGTTCCCAACACCAGCTTGCACAGGGCTGGAAGGCAGAGCTCCAGCCCCACGGATCATTTGCATGCCAGTTTCACGGCTGACAAAAAGAAAGGGAAGCATCACAGAGGTGCCCAGTGGCGTTCACATCCTGTGCACATTTGCATCATACGTGTCTTTTGTCACAAGGACTAACCTGCTGAAAGCAAACATAAAATCTCTGAACATCATTATTCTAGGCTCCTCCTTAGCCTACCTCTAAGTAATTATAAAGACTTGAGAGACAGAATTAACATGTAAATGCAAAAAGGAAGGATGCTTGTAAACTGAAAAGCCCTGCCTCCCCTATAGTACGGCTGTACACAATGATTTAACAAATGATGCTTGCAAATCTAAACTTGGCCCAGAGTGCGTTTCACAAAGCCAAAAGGGATTCATTGCCTGTTAACACAATTTCCATCACCTAATAAATTCTGGCGTGCTGCAAAAATAAAATGTGAGACTAAATCTAGCCATTATTCAGATAATTACCTGTAAAAACCTTAGGTTAGCATCAGTCATTGAAAGGTAAGTATGGCTGACTTTTCCCCAACTGTGTGCTTTTAACGATGCTACATACTCTTAAATAGTCTTAGCTTCAAGTCACCAATATACTTGTGCTATGTGTTTCTGAATGGTTTACACACATTATTATCAATGTTTTCAGACAAGATTACATCCTCTTTGCTTTCCAGGCATTTGTCTGCATACAGTGTACACTGATACAGTACTTCATTCTGTAACCCTAATGTGGGGTACCCAGCTGAACTGCTTGTCTTAAAGAAACTTTGCCTATACTGCTGACTCCTTCTCTCTGATTATTCCTCCTTTTAGTGTGACAAAGCAGCAGCTGATGAAAAGGCAGAAAAGCAAGAGGATGCAAACGTGGGAATACAGGCTGAGGGCCCGAGCGAGCGGCAGCTTCAAACAGCCTGCTCCTGCAGCTCCTGTTTCAAAACCAGCTATGGCCACCAAAGAAAGCGCAGGTGCTGGCAGCCTCTGTTCTTTTCGATTTGATACTTACCAGGGAAATGGCAAACAACAAAACAGGGTGCCACTGTGAGCTGGGAAGCCAAAAAGCGTGGCTGCTCAGCTCCCCGCAAGGCTTTTACCCCACCAGCCGTCCAGAGGAGGCACGCCAATACAGGAAGACCTCGACCTTCGACCTTGCAGAGCAGGCATGCCATTATAAAGTTTGTTTTTTTTTTTTTTACACTAACTTTGTTACCCTAACTAAATCCCACCTGCCCCCGCCCACCTCCGCTCGCCCCCTCCGGCCGCTCCTGCGCCACCACCGCCCTCTGCCGAGGGCTCCTCCAGCACCATGGCGGCCGCCACCAGCCCCCCCGCGGCCTGCCCCGCGGCAGCCTCAGCCGCCGGCCCCCGCAGCCCGTCCCGTCCCGTCCCATCCCGTCCCTTCCCGGTGAGCCCCGGGGCCGCCACGCACCTTGCCTCCGGGCAGCGGGGGGCGGCCAGGCCGGCCCCGCTCCGCTCCCGGCCCACCACAGCCGCCAGGCCTCGGCCCGCAGGGAGGCGGCGGGGCCCGGCGCCGCTCGGCCGCCGCCTGCTGGCAGCAGCGGGGCTGCCGCCTGTCGCCGCCCCCACCGTGTGAGGAATAGTAATAATAATAATGAAAATAATAAAAAGGGTTTATCGAAAAAAGGGTGTATCGAAAAGCAGCCGCGCTGGCTTCTCCTCCGGCCCTCTCAGCACGCGGGTGTTGGATGAGGAGGGAATAGCTCTGGATGAAGCAGCGACAACAAACACACACAAATCCAACCCAAAACAACCCCCCTCCGCCCCAAATAAACAAACAAACAAAAAACATCATCAGTGCGTATCGTTAAAGCACATAGAAATCACAGCGGTTCGTAAACATACCGCAAAGGAAGCAGAAAGGTGTGGGGAAAATACACTGAGAAGTTGCAGGCGGCTGTGGCAGAAAGACCCCAAATTTGCCCTAAGCGCAGGGCTGACCCTGCAGCACTTCTGCTCGCTCTGCTTAACTGGCTCCAGGTTGAGTAAGTGAGCTTTAATTCAATTTATTTCCTTTGAAAGTGAAGTAAGTCTGATGTAACAAAAGGAAGCAGTGGACCTAAACTGTCTCTTTATCGGTAGGTAATTCAGTTTTAGTGAGACTATCCACTTTCCTGTGACTCAAGCAGCTGCAATATAGACAAAATGGATTTTTTTTTTTAGATGTGATTTCCCTCCCTCCCTCTCTCCTTCCCTTCCTTCCTTTCTTTTTTAAAATCTTTTAACATTTAATGCAGACACCAACTATGTTCATGACTGGGAGAAAAGCGTGGAAGAAGAGTGGCACACTACAGACATCTTTCCTAAGCACAACACCCCACTTCTATTTACAGCTTGAAGCATTACCTGTTATGTGTGCTAAGCGGATCAGTGGATGATACGAAGCAGGGATTAGCAAGAATATTTTTGAGTATATGAGTAAGTCCAAACTAAATTGTAAATGTAGTTTACACATTACAAATTAACACAACTGGATTCAATTAAGTATAAAAGAGGTTAATCTAAAAATGCTATCAAGCTGACGCTCCTGAGGAGTTCCCCTACTGAAACGAATTGCCACATTCTTCTCTGAAACCATGACCTTTTTGTCCCTTCCATTGAGACAGATACTTGTCCACAAGAGAGGGCCCTGGGATCTTTTGATATTTGTCTATGTACAGAAATGGGCGGTATTTTAGTTTCCAGGTGTATTGGTTTTTCTTTCTCCAGGGAAGTGTTTTAAATAAACGATAACAGGCGTTCACCTCTGAGGAATAAAAGCTGTAGGCTCATGTTCCTTTAGTTGCTGTATTTCTCTCAGGGGTTTGGTTGTGCTTTTGTAGTTATTCCTGTGCTGAGAGAGGGAGACAAACCTTCTGGGGTACAACTTCAAGTCAGCTTTCCCTCCTCATCTGTGCTTGGAGAAACACATCAGCATGCAGCGGGAAAGCCTGCAGGAGAGCAGTCTTACCCTGCCGACGTGACATACCTAATTAACTAGCAGAGTAAACTAATGTGTCTGCTGAGGATTAGTCAGCTTCCAGTGACTCATTTTCAAGCCTTATCTTAATCCCTTCAGTTGAAGAGAGGTGTAATGCTGGCAGCTAACTCTGGCTGTTCATTTTTGTGTCAGAATCAGAAATTCCAGTGTCAGACTTGAGTGTTTGGCACTGGTGTAAGCCAGACCTGTACAGTCTCACTTGAGGCAGTGGGTGAACCAGCTCACACCTGGCTGTACCCCAGGGAGTCTTAGCTCTGGTCTGTACCCGGTTCCTGTTTCATGGTGCAGAAATGTGCCTTTAGTGCTTGTTTAGGAAACCTTATGTCACAGACGGGGTAGAAAGGACTGGGGCCTTTAAATGCTGAAAAGGGGGTGAAGGACAACTTTTTGTGGAGAGGATACATTCAGCAGAGTCTGGTGAAAAAGCAAGGGTAAATAAAGAGGAAAGCGTGTTCTTGATGTCTCAGATACCAGATTGGTTTTGTGCCTTTCACTCCAAAAAGGAGTCTAGCCTGCTCTGGGGTCTGTGTATAGGATTTCCAGAAGAACCTGAATGAGATGGGCACACAGTCCCCAGCCTGGCCTGTTTATTCAAATAGAACAGCTGATGAAGGCAGGCTGTGCACTGGCCATGTTCGTTCCCTAACTTCAAGGTGATTGCCATATTGCTTAAATCAGTTCAGGTATTTATCAAACCACTAATTGGCCCTGCCAATGCAACTGTTCGGAACAGCATTAATTTGATTGTGTATGCCATTTTCAAGATAAAAATATTTTTTGACAGCTTTCAGTCTTACATTGTTTCTTATGTTCATTTGTTCTGCTTTTAGATGTATCTGGAGTGGGCTGGTTTCAACCTTAATCCAGGTTATTTATAATCGGAAAGGAAAGGAAAGGAGAAGGAAAGGAAAGGAAAGGAAAGGAAAGGAAAGGAAAGGAAAGGAAAGGAAAGGAAAGGAAAGGAAAGGAAAGGAAAGGAAAGGAAAGGAAAGGAAAGGAGAAGGAAAGGAAAGGAGAAGGAAAGGAAAGGAGAAGGAAAGGAAAGGAGAAGGAAAGGAAAGGAGAAGGAAAGGAAAGGAGAAGGAAAGGAAAGGAGAAGGAAAGGAAAGGAGAAGGAAAGGAAAGGAGAAGGAAAGGAAAGGAGAAGGAAAGGAAAAGATTATTCCTTATGCTACAACTTTCTGCAAAGAGAATTTAGGATTAAAGTGTTGTGTAATTGGCTGTTTTTGCTTTGGCAGTTTTCTGGTATATCACTTCCGATAGTTCAGCACAGAGATACTTTCAGTTTTCATACATTAGTTATGTGATGCATCCTCTTTAATGTTTGTAGTTCTTTGAGAAGAAAAATGTTACAGATGCTGAAAGAGTTATTACCTTAGAATTTGAGTCACTACCACTATGCTTAGGAACATGATGGATTGTCGTGCAGTTTACTATATAAAACATGTTCAGAGATCTGGAAGTAGTGCAACCCCATCCTATTTTTCATTCTGGTGCATGGGATGTCTTTAAATATCAAGGGCAGCCACGGTTCAATGGTTAAATTTGCTGCATAAGCATCCTGCTACGGTGGACAAGCCTTTCTGTACTTTTTTTTTGTGTATTCCTTAAATAATGTCTGGACTTGCTTCCACAATTTCAGACTAAAAAGAACTCGTGTTGTGATGGATTGCTATTCCTAATGGCCTTCAATTAGGTACTCTTCCAGATTTCTTTTTTATTTCCCTAGTATTTTGACTTTATGTACAGCTTCACAGTTTTATATCTGGTATATATCACAATATGCTCTTCACTACTTTGCATGGTTTGTTTGTATTGGCACATTTATTAAACACTGTATTTAAAATGCAGCAGCACTGAGCTGTTAGAAGATGTAATGTGTACTCCTCTCTCCAAACAAGAAAGTAGAAAAATAGGTGTAGTATCTGCAGAGTGGATTTTAAAATTACTTTGACATCACAATTTATCTTAAATATTATTTAATATCATTTACATTTTCTGATGCACTTTAAATTAAGATTGTATTATATGTACGATAGTGCTTTTAACGCTTTCTTCTTTGTCCTCCTGTACACAATGAGCCAATTGGCACTGTCAGCAGAGAGTCTGGATATTGTCAGGATTAGCTGTCATCTCTATTAGGCCATTTGTGATATGCAAGTCATTATGAGAAATTTGGCCACATAATAGCCAAACCTGAAGCATAAAAATTAAAGTCAAAGCTTGAAAGTAAAACAAATAAATAAATATAAATAGCATTCTTGTATGGGAAGCTACAGCTATTATCTTTTTTAGGGCTGAAGTACTCTCTGTTGAAATTTATGCCAGAAAGAAACGTAGCTTTTCCTTCTCTCACTAGGAGGTTTCTGGTACATTAGGTGCTGCTGTTCAGGTTTTCCCAAAACCTTCTTTTGGAGACTGCAGCTCCTGTGCTTTCAGGGTGCTCTCAGACTGTGCCAGCCCTGCTGAACAAAGCATGGTCAGGCCACTGGTGCTCATTTCTCCACCTCATTTAACCGCTGCTGGGACCCCTGTGGCACCAGCAGCTTTCCAGGTGGTGCTTGTGTACGGTGGGTACTGTGAGCACCCGGGCCCGGCACCATCCCCTGCAGGCAGCGTCCATGGGTCAGGGTGGGCATCAGGGTGAGATGTTGGGGACAGAGATCATTGCCCAGTTCTATTGCCTCTTGGGGAGGCAGTCTCAGACTCTCTGGGGGCATATCTGGATATACTGGGTCCTGGCATGGCTGGCTGAGGCTGTAAGACCAGGGAGAATGAAGCCTGGGATGAAAACTGCCCAGAAATAACTGTAGACCACAGGTAGCTGGTGGGACCATTATCCTCAGCCTGAGCTACACAGTGGGAACAGGAGACAGATGCTGTGCTCCTGCCTGCCCACTGAAAATCTCTGTCTGTCTTATTTGGGAGGGCATCGCTTTGTACATGGTGCAATGAGAGCCCTCATATCCAGAAGTCACCCCCCCCAGTTTACATGTGAAACTCTGAAGGCACAACTAATGTAACACATTTGGAGAACAATCACAGTGTCAGGGATTCAGTAACTTAGAGACTAGAGGAATGTCAGGAAAATACTTTAGAGAAGTAAATTTAGTTGTAAGATTAGAGCAATTTCTTGCAGTAAGGTATAATTGCAAGAAATGGAAGTTAGAGAACATATCCTGGGGCAAACCAGCTTGAGAAATATATTCAAAAAATATAATGTGTTTCTTTAAATGATGAATGTCAGCTGCAAAGCATTTTCATTTGCTTTAATGACCTACAGAAGTGAAAGTTAGAGAACTGCCTGCATATGAACTTCCACCGCCTGTTAGTCCAGTGATCACCAGAACATTAGATATACTGACAATATATATATTATGCAATTAAATGTTGCATAATAGTGGTTTGGACAGCATGTTGACTTAAGTTTTACATCTAATCTTTCCTATTAGAACATCACTGTAATGACTGCTATGATATCTTCACATTTTGCATTGTCAGGGCACTTGGTTAAAGCCTAAGCCAGGGCCCATTG